AAAGTATTCAAATTTGGGCGGGGGAGGGTGGAAGACGAAACACGTGAAAGTGTAAGAAGTGAGACGATCAATCAAGAACATATCTAAATTCACAGCAAGACTAATACAACCGAAAAGAATTTTAGTAGCCCCCACGGTAGCCGCTACCGAATAAAGCAACGGGAAGACGAAACACGTGAAAGTGTAAGAAGTGAGACGTCACATCAAGAACATATCTAAATTCACAGCAAGACTAATACAACCGAAAAGAATTTTAGTAGCCCCCACGGTAGCCGCTACCGAAAACATAAAGCAACGTCGCCACCGAATCACCTGCATGGACTGCAGCAAACGTTATATTCTGCATCCTGGAAAAATTCTTCACGGGGACAGAACGTAGCTATCAATAGATACGATCCACTATCTCCATACATAAAGACCAAGAAGGAAACACGTTTATCCTAGAAATAGTGAGGATCGTAGTACGCGGAAATACAAGGCATGAGAGTGAATTCTTAGGAGCATGGTACTGCGTAAGGGATTTAATTAAAGGGGTAAATCGAAACCGGTCCTGTCTACACACCGCTACGGGTGTATATTCTTGTCCATTTTTTCGCGGCTCTTTAAGGTAAACCTTGTCATTAGGACATTCAATTTTCTCTAGGTTTGCTTGCACCGGAACAAAAACTCAGTGGATAGTGAACAGGATTCCTTAGAATGGGCTGGTGGTACCATGGCTGGCGGGGGAAACCTGTTCCGAATTCTCCAAGAAAGTGGGGTGTTTTTAAGGGACTGACAAGCTCCGATCAAAGTGCCATTCTATTCGGACTGAATTCCGTGTGTGCCATGGGTTTCGCACCATTGTACATGTTGTGTTATAACTGATTTGGATGTTAAGGTGAGGTATTGTTCAAAAGTTGAAGATATACCTGCCTGCTGAGCCACATGCATGATGAAATTCGTGCAGGGCTGTCGTTGAATTCCTATTTCGTCGCTTACTATAACTACTGTTCTCACGTGTTATTCGAAATGCGATTACCGTATTCAGTAATATGATCTACCCCGCCTCAGCGCAAACCGGACTTTCCAGGTTCTACCCGATGTTAACACACCCTTTACCGGCTGGATTCAATTGAATCCCCTACCAAAACCAAGTTAGTATGCAAACGAGAATATCTGTCGAACAAGTATATCCGGTTTGTCGATATTAGGCGACAATTTCGCAGTTCAACTTCTGAGTGGTTCGTTCTATGGGCTGAGAAGAAGTAAATGGGTAGGATATAGCTAAGCTCTTGGGACTAACAAAACCGAGAGGAGCAACCGGTTAGTACAGCCGATATGGCTAGTTCACACTGACTGGATAAGGCGTGACCTTGAATTGCACCATCTAGAGGACAGACTAAAACTTGGCTATGAACGCTGTATGAAAATTCTTTTCCTGATCTTTTGAACAGAGGTTGAAGACGATTAACTACTGTTTCTTTGTGTACGGAGCTTACATTCTTTGTTTTACGGAGCAGATTATTTTTCATACCTAATATACTGGTGATGTATTTATTTCCCCAAGAAATTTGGGTGATGCGATACAATTTTGAAAACATTGCAAGAGTTGATGAAAATGTGCTTGGCCTTTTCTAGTCGTTACCTCTCTGAGGTAGCTGTTTGCTTGCGAGTAAGCCTGAGTAATCTGCAGATGTTTCAAAACTGGATTTTGAAATCTCCTTTGTTTTCTTCTTGTGTTCTGCATAGTTTTTGAAGATGTTAAACGATCCGTGTGATACTACAGTAAGGCCTCAAGTACCGAATAACGATAGCCCGACAAGGTTATCGTGACTATCGTTCGAATAAGGATTTCTATCCCGAGGTGGAATGTCAGGTCAGGAGAAAACGTAGGAACATTTCCATCGTGTTGGCTCCTCACAGGATCGGGGTTTTTACTAGACTGAACGCGATTTCTCCTTGGCAGAAAACGCGAATGACTACCGGCTGGACACGAATCTGCATCCAACCGTTTTGGCGCTCTTTGGCACACGTGGTTGTCGGATGCATTGGACCTATATGGCTCTTCCCCATCTCAAGGACTAGGAGGTTTATTTGTAGCGCCTGTCCCTCTAGAGGATCCTTGACTCCAAACCCTGTCCATTTTTTGTTTCCCAGGTTTTTGGACAGTTTTGGACATTATATTATTATGTGATACACCCTGTCCATTTTTTGTTTCCCAGGTTTTCGGACAGTTTTGGACATATTATTACATTATATACGTAAATATTGTAGGATAGGGTCAGTGGGAGGGTAAGCTGCATAAGAAAGGAACCAATGTCTAGCATTTGTTTTCGGATACTCGATCTACTGAATAACACTTCGCCTGAAGTGAGTAACTTAGCATCTCAAATGGCGTTGCTCGTTGTGCCCGTGGTTCTCAACAGATGTATGGAGAATCCGTTTCCATTCAATCCGTTCACTGGATCAACCCTGTTTCCTGACTCCATTTTGATCCGAATGGTTATCCGTGCACTATGGATAATTTTGCTATCTTGCTTCATCGAACTTTAATTTAATCTGATCGTAACTGCACCTTGTAGTCGCCATCATCACCTTCTTTTTGTAATGACTATTCTGGAGTCCATTTTTTTCATGTGAGTTTTCTGGTGGGCTGCTACTCATGTCATACTCAGAGCTTGCTCCTGATTTCATCTACATGTATCGTCTGTGTAGTTTGTATCTGCATACTGTAGGCTTCACCATTCCTCCTCTTCCTGCAGCGAGGAAACTATAAATGCGATTCTCGACCATTTGACGAATCATCAGACGGTTACAACGTCCACTGTTGTAGGCTGTATCGATGTGTTTTCAGCTATCTTGGACAAGCGGAGACCGTAAGTCCCCAAACTTTGGATAATACGCAACGTTTTTCATCGCTACTTCCCCATTTTATCCGATCTTATTGGTCATATCTCCAAGGGCAACTTTATCTGGTTGGTAAGGTGGCTGTTTCTTTTTTCCAGCTCGGGCTAGCCCAGCGATTAGTTCCTAACTGTAAAAGGTCCGGAATGGTGCCACAGCTGCAGTCGTTACGCGGCAAGTCAAAATCTATTCACTGAGGGGTTCAAGCGGATCAAGCCATACGTTATCGTATGTCCATAGATTTGTTCAATCTATCACAGCCATCATGTTCGATTCGTGTGACCGTTGGTTTTAATTGTTCAGATTCCATTCTGTACACTTGGATAAAGGGTCAATTCAGTATGCCAGGTTCGGCAGCGTTTGTTTCACACCAATCGACCGACCTGTCTGTGTCCACGAATGGAGCACGGCGATCAAATTGACCGATACTAACATTCTCTGATTGTATTTTGCTTCATTATCGTTTCTGGCTGAACGTCACGGGGACATTCGGTATTCGCGCTTATCAGGTCACTTTGCTTACAATTCACCCAGAGCGACTTTGTACATGTTCCACACATTGACCGGACAGTCAGTTAATCTCATTTGACGCTCACTTCTTCATCGGTTTTAGTGAAACCGGTTTCGCACTTTCCGGCAGTGGTGGTGGTCCGGGAAGTGAGTTCGAACAATTATTCGGCGCAGGATTTTTCGGCTCATCCAATCCAACATTTCCTCGGGGTGGTGGTGGTGGTGGTCTATTTGGCGGTTCGAGTGAGGATCCTAACCGGCCCGGAGACAAGTCAGAGTTGGTGTATAAAGCCCGAGTGGCTCGTGCATCGGCGACTCTGGCCAGAGCATGCCTTCCTCGTGTACACGATCTACACCTTCTTCTACAGCGTCCCCATGTGGTAAGTAGTCTTGGGTATGACAATCACTTGCCCTCACGGTACTAGACGAGCCCGATTCTACAGAGATATTGGCAATGTTTTTGGTGATCACCAGTCATTTCGTGACACCTTTCTGTTTCCGCAGCAAACATACAATCAAATGTCTACCACAACTGGAACCCTAAATCCTCCGCTTGGTCGTGGTCGCCTTGCTGTCGCTCAGTTTTTTGCATTGTTGATGGCGCTTCCTGCGGAAACGGGAATTGCGGCTGCGCTGATCAAGGAAGGGGTAGTCAAAACGCTCATGGTACGTTTTCAGTTATCAGTTTGGTTTCAGTGACATCCCATTGTTTTGCGTCGGGAGACATCGAAATCTGAGCCTCTGACTGTTCTTTCTGCTGATGAGCTGTGTCATTGTCTTCGTCTTAAGTTGTTCGAAAGGAAATCTTGTAAGCATCTATCTGCTACCACTTGGCTTTGTGCTATATCATCATATTGCCCCCGCTTAATGACCAGTTCGTACGGAAGAATATCCTAGACGAGATGCATTCGGGTCCCCCATCGATACCAAGGTATTCTGTACATGAGTGTATTTCACCACTCCCCTCCAATTTAGCGTCCAAATAGAATATAAGATTGGTAGAAATTCGGCAACCACACCTATTTGATAAACCCCAAACAGGGCGGAACCGGTAGCGGAGAGGTTTTACCAACCTTATAAGCAATATGTTATGTGAAGGATACCTCGAATATAGTGCCAACTGAAACACGAGACGCTCTTCGTGCAGCATATTCATTTAAAAGATAAGGGAGAGAGCGTGTCTACATAGAAGGGAGGATCGGCAAGCAAAATGCGTTGAGCTGTTGAGTCATTAGTCTTTTTGATACCGCTTACGGTGTCGTTCAGTCTCAGTATCTGCATTAACGCCTGTTCGTGCAAACTCCATTAATTAATCATGTACCACTGAGTCTCGCCCGGGAATGTTTGTGCCGTACTTTTCCTGGTACTGCTGTCTACGGTCCCGTGAAATCTTTAAAATACCGTAGTAAGGGGTGACTCAGGGCGTCGTGATTCATGCGCGCACGCGTTCATTGCAATAATAGATCATTTTTCGGTTTCAGGAGCGCGTCACGAGATCTTTGTCGAATCCATCCATTCATTTCGTTTTCAGACTCTGCGTGCTCACTCCCATCTGTTTAGACAGAAACTATTCGTTAATCTCGCGGCAAATCTTTCACACAAGCTCTCACCGATAAGATCGACTGTTCCGCATTTTTTCCAAATTGATCGGCATTATCGGCGTGCTCAGCCCCTCAGTTTCGAATTCCCCAGATATCTGCAGCCAACAGTTTGGTATTGGAAAGGTGCTTATCGATGATATATCGGGTTATTTGAAGTCCTTCACATGACTTTCTTTAGAAATGCGAATCGGTCACGTGTTGTGCTTAATTGCTTGGTTGACTGTTCTAGTTCTATATCAATAGGGTGACGCAAATCCTGTGTTGAAGGTCAGCTCAGGCTGTGCTTTCATGTTACACAGCCGTGAGGATGGCTCATAGCTGTTTGTCCATTAAGTAGTTTGGTGGCATATTGTCTGGAAACTGATACGTTTGGACGTCGTAGCTCGTGCTTGTAGGTCATTTGTTGTAGCCTCAGACTTCTTCTACCGGTTCAGTCTTTCCTTTTGGCTGTTGTGGATGCTACAAATATTACTGTATTGCTATGTTACTATTACTATTTTACTATTTTACAGTGGTATTTTTGAGTAGAGAATACCACGGGTTAAGGAGCATTTGGGCCTATCTAGGTAGAGGTTTCTAAAAGCGTCTGTCGAGGAACATTACTGACCTATTTCAGCGACCATGTCTTCAGTGTAATGCAGGTCAGCAATAAGGTGTATTAAGTAAGCTTCAGCTTCTTGCATCAAGAATCAACACGATATTGTCTAACCTCCCTACTGGTGAATTGGTCCAAAGGCAGACGTTTTAGTGCAGTGTTTCATAACTCCGGTTGCACACGACCCCTTGGGGTTACGAGTTAGTTGCCATGATAACCAGTCTTAGTTCGAAACAAGTAAGTTCTTCATGGAAACTTCTGTCTTGTTTGTGGATTGACAATGCTGAAATTCTACGAACGGTTTTTGATTGCGTCAAATGCACTGGATCTGTCATGTGCTGCGTAATCGACCGCTTAAACGCACCCGATTTGCCGAGCACATCACAAAGTTGGCAACGCATCACCGAAGACGAAACATCGATTTTTTGTCACTGGCGACGTTGGGGTATCAGACACTCACGATAGAGACTCATTATTCAGCTGTTCTCTTATTCCTAATGATGACCGAATGAATCAAATCTTATTCGTAATCAATAGGTCAGTATTCTTTGCAGTATACTCATTTGTTTTACCGACTCACCCTCCACATGCAGTGGCGGAAGAATCTCCGTGCGACGTGCACGCCTCACAGTTGAACTAAACCACTGTTGTGTCTGTTCTCACTTTCGTTGTTAATTGCTGTGCAACTCGCATTGGATCATTCACAGTCAGATTGTCCCACCGCTAACAAAAACACACGAGCACCGTGGACGTGGATTGGCATAAAGTGCTTCGCATAGATAATTGGTGCACAAACTGATAAGCCACGTACACCCTCGATGTTGATCCGGTGAATCCGGCTGACCTAATTACCGGTATTACATCAATTACTTCAGCCTTTTTATACATATCACCCGGTGAGCGTGCACGCACTGACAAAGGTTAAAGGGACAATTTCCACTCAGCTGACAAATCAACACCAAACGTATTGGGCTGAGCCGAGGAGTCAACTCGTCGCAGCTCTTCACTAGGGCCGTATTCAGTCGGCGTTGCATGTACGACAGAGGCCTGTTCATTTGGGCGAATACAAAGCACAGATGGGCTCCCATTGCTTCGCTGGCGTTGTCCACATGGTTTATTCATTTACTCTTTGCCGATAGCAATAGTTCAACTGATCGAAAGAATGCTGTGAACAGGTATTGTCATGTGGCTAGTGAAAATTTATCTCGGAATTGCAATCCAGCGAAATTTATCCCTCAATAGACAAGTGACCTCAAATGTTATTGGATGTTTTTGCACGAATACCGTGTTGTATTCACTTCCTACTCCTTCTGACAGGAGAAACAGCACAGCTAGTTATTGTAGGAGAAACAAATTCTCGACAAATTAGAAATCTCTATCTCTTGTATGAAAACCGCAAAAAGGTACTGTCGACAGGTCGACGAAAATCGGTCGTTGTAGTTGGATGCTCACTGTCAGTTGATTTCGTACAAAGGACTAACATGTGCGTATTCCTTCGGTCATGAGGAGCATGACACATCGAGTAACAAGGAGGATCTAGTTATCTGGACAGTTCAGTTTTCCTCAAAATCACTACCACTGGTTGCAGCACATTATAGAAGCTACCTCGACATCACACTCCAAATGTTTAATGAAATGCCGTCGCTTCCCCGCGGGGTGGTTTGTCTTAATTGGACAAGTTGATCTTCAGACATTCCGTGAAAACGACAGAATTCAGAACGGAAAACAGCTGTGGTAGCAAAAGTGCGCACATCAGGCGGTTGGTGCACAGCTATGGAGCATCAATCAAGAATTGAGGGAAAATTCAGACCTGATAGTTTCAGCCAAAATGGCAGTGTAAGATCGCAACTAGCAGCGGTGGGAGGCTTGGATTGAGGGGAACATTTACCGTGGAACAATGTTGGGTAAAGTGACCAATGAACTTAAGATCTCCTGTCACACTACCCTTCTCTTATCCCCTTGTGATCATTCCGGTTATTCCACATCAACGAAGGAATCACTCGACTCAAGTTCGTCCAACAATGCATATCCTTCGCCTGGATTCGTACTTCGGACATCCGAACTTGTGGATGAGCCCATTACCACTGTTGCGTCAGAGCACGCCAAGCACATTAGATTTCAGAGCGTGTTAACATTTTGAGTTATATAATTTCTCTTGCCGACTCCCCGAACGAAGACCCATTAATTTCCTGGTTGTTTCGATGGATTAATCTGTCTGTCAGGACTTCTCAATCAGGTAGCCTCAGACGCGTTTGAAACCTGGATAGTCTTGTTTGATTACTTTGGAGGGTTGTGTTATTGTGTGCTTTCGTCCCAACTGAATGATGAACAGGGCCGGCCATTGGTGCTCTGCATAACAGTTTCTTGTTCAGCAGTTGACCGTTTGGCCTCGAGCGGTTGAACAGCAGTGATATTAGCTCTCAGTTAGATGGGATAAAGTGCTCTCCATCCTTCAATTACAGGAGCAACATCACGTGGTCACGGGGCGAGATGGCCCAAGTGGTCAGAGCGCGAACTTACTAACCGAAATGTCCTTCGTTCCAACCCGACCTCTGCTCCTCGACTTCCCCTTTCTAGGCTTGGGCGACCTGGCAGTATCCCAGCCCTCGTGCCTCCTTCGTGTGGCACGGCAGCTAGGCACCGAAAGGGTGCTACAGCTGAACGATTTTTTTACGTGGTCACATAATTAGTGGCTCCTCGAGTGACAACTTTCTGAATGACATTTTTACTCATCTTGTGAAATTACTCCTCCTCTGAAGCACATATAGGTTAATCGTAGTTGATCCAGTTGAACTTGGAAACGTGAAGTAGCTTGAATCGCATCAATTACTTCATACAGTGACCATTTTAGTTTTGCTCGCAACATCCAGTCTAAACGTCTTATCTCAAAAATTCATATCAGAGTTCAGTTCGAAGCCGGAGCATGCGTCCGTTGCAAATCTCCCTTCATGGAACTCATTAGCTATCTGTGTTTTTTCACCATGGGGACAGTATATTTCGCTGTCCTCGCATCAGCACAACTTTTCGTTGCCCGACATGCTTTAGCTTGCACAAGCAGACTCCATGCATAAAGGACTTGCCACATCCGGACCTGTAGCTAACTTATCACAGAGATGTCGGCTGCAGCCTTGCAAAGTCACTTTTACAATACCGGTAGAAGTGAATGTACACCACGTTTGTATCGGGGTACAAACATACGATTTCAATGATATCAAAGAAACTTTGTTACTATTGCGTCAATATGCAGTGTCCATACACAACTGATAAGTAAGCATGCTAAATCCAAACATGATGTATATTCATACCCACAGGTATGATAAAATATTGTATAGGAATGGCACGCGCGTGTCTTCGATTGGGATTTATCCTTATGATACTGTGTGTCAACCCACATATAGCTCTTTTAACCGTACGTCAAATAATGGGACAGCAAACCCCTGCTTCTAAAGACCTGCTTCTAAGACGAGTAAAAAGTAGTGTCATACAAGATTCGTTGACGGATGAACGTGCCAAAGCGTCGAACTGACAGTCCAGACTCTTCACCGCTGCGACATCGGTAACCACATGGCATTTGACCGATTTGCTTGTAAAATAGAAAGCTTGGCTTATTTTTGGCAGTTTTTTCGATCCGTGGAAGAATCGCTGAAGCAATTGATCCATCAGTTCGCTTTCTGTAGCGATTTTTGGTTGGTGCATTCAAGCGCCCTTTTTAATGTCTGCGACTGAGTGACGTCAGCATCGATTTAATCGAATTTCAACTCGAATTCCTTGTTTCTGTACACATAGTAGAGGATAAACTATATTGTGGAGCCAGCCAGATTGCGCGTACCTCTCTGAACTGTCCAGGTTTACTCGGTCCCATGAGCTTTCTCTGTACAGCGGCTTTCTTCTAGTTTATATGTTAGGAATCAAAAACTGTATGTCCGGTTTGGGCTTCGAACTTTCTGTTTTTTTTTCGTTTACGGCAAACAAAGAAACGTTTTATTTTTTCCGCTGCATGTGTAGGACACACGAGGCAGTGCCTGGCGGCGAGTGCTGTTTTGGACTTTCAATTTCAGTGGTCCTTATTTCTGGGAATAACCACACTGTTTTCGGATAACTTGTAGAGTATCAGAAGTACAACCTCTCTGGGCCGTTATCAAGGACAAAAGGCGAATATCTGTTAATCTTTTGTTCAAGGCTCAACCGTATCCTTACTCTGTTGTTTAAACACAGCCTTTCGACCCTATTTCATTCCAGGATTTGTTTGAACAATATCCGTTCAATACCCTTATCCACCAAGCCGTCACGGATGTCGCCACGGCATTGTTTTCTCGTGCCCGACTGATTGATACGAACCATGGGAAGTCAGGAAGCGAACAGGAAAAACCTCAAGCGGATGGGACCTTACCACTCACAACTGCTGCGTCGGGGACGTTGGCCGCGACGAGTCAGCCTAATGAGGTTGAAACCACCATGGATACCGGTTCCACCGATGAAAAAGAAAGCGACCAGACCTCGGACAAGTTTATGGTCACGCTTTTGGACGATGCATTTGCCACAATCGTGAAGGAGAACCAAATCACTGACTGGTGTCTACGTTTGGCTCCCCTCTCCTGCTCTGCGTAAGTTGATATTTTCACATGCTTTGGTGCTGCTTTGTGTAATTATTGTACACAAGTCTTGTTTGACCAGAGGTTTGTCCTAGTTTCGACCAGTCAGTCACTATGACCGTCAACTTTCAATGAGGGTTATGGGGCCCCTCATTTGATGACAAACAAAACTGGCTGACGCGGTTATATCGTTTCGTCTTGACATGTCTAACGTGAAACAAGCTTTCACTGTCCTTCAAGTTACGCATCCTAGCCGAAAGCACTTCGCCCCACTGATTTCCAATGACTTCTACGTTAGGGCTAACAGAATGTAGCTTTTCATGCTTCCTACTGTGTGTGGGGATCACTCTTAGTGGTCCGACCTTCGTGGATCTGCACCGAGCGCACATTTTTTTGATGCAAGGCACCTGAACGGCTGTATGAAGGGATTTTTGCCCTTACAGAACGATCTGAGAGGGTACAACTGTTACACAGCATTTCTGGTAACCTTGTTTCGCGGTTCACTATTCATATACTGTGCGTTGACTCGTTGTCCCGCCCATTATGTTACATCAGAGTACCCAGTGGTTTCAGGCAACCTTTTACGAAAGCAACAGAAGATTGCTATATACAATGTGTACAGTGCTGTGTATAATTATACGAGGATCGGGAATTCTTCACAAGATCAAGCTGGGACAAGAAGTGCAGATCTGAGAATTTTCGGTTCCGATTGGCCCATACTCTGACCAATCAGGGCCTTGTGTCCTGTCGATGGCCGGTGGATGTTATATCTGTCCAGTCGATGTGATGTTTGGTTATTCTGACCGACTTGTCATCAAGCTGTCTTCCTTGAAGTTGCTGTTCAACCGTCCGCAACTTGGATTTGCCTTGTGATAGCTCAGGTGACCACTTGCACATAATTTAATGCCGGAGGACGACGCGAACTTTTCATTCCCCATAGGGGGGGGGTTGAATGAGTTTGTGTTCGCACGAGGAACCTCGGTAACTAATTCTCCCCCAAGTCTATTTGATGGGTTTTTTGGTTTGAGGTGACTGTCGACTGCAGTGGACATTGATGTACTCTCTCTCAAGAATAAGATCACCGTTGTCATGAACGACAGCGTGACAACAGTGTTCCACACTGATGCTGTGCTGCCGAAATGGGGGGGGGGTTGAATGAGTTTGTGTTCGCACGAGGAACCTCGGTAACTAATTCTCCCCCAAGTCTATTTGATGGGTTTTTTGGTTTGAGGTGACTGTCGACTGCAGTGGACATTGATGTACTCTCTCTCAAGAATAAGATCACCGTTGTCATGAACGACAGCGTGACAACAGTGTTCCACACTGATGCTGTGCTGCCGAAAGTTGATTGTATTGCAATTTTAAACCAAATTGGACTCTGGGATTATTCAAATGCGTTCGACTATCCGATCTCCTTGTTCAAAGGATAACCTTTTTCTCTTCTATCTTTGGCCTGCTTGCGTATTTGTCTCATTAAGTAACGTACTTGGTGTACCTAGTTTGCTGTTTTGCGAAAGTTTTTTTTATTGTCCATGTGAACCGCGTATCATTGCTGTATCAAAAAATCTGGATGTATTCTTGCACATTGCCTCTCTCAAGTCTGTTAAGGTGAACTTGTGGTATAAAACTGTCATTGTGAGGCTTCCGACAGACTTCATTTACTTGTCGTCAAAACACCGTATCTCCTCAATGCCAATTTCACTTGTAATCGCTTCCCCATCAGCTTGCTTCCACATCGTCACACGGTCAGTGACTCACTAGCAACAACGAGCCCACTTTCTGCTATCTGGATAGGCAGCACAGGTGATGGTTGGATGTGTGTGACTTACTGCTGTCTATTTTTTGGCGAGTTATCGGTGCAGATGAATCATCCCAGCCTTGTCTGTGTTGATAATTCCCAAACTAGGTGCAGTTTATCCGGGTCGATATATTTACTTCACCACAAACCGGGTCTACATACAAAACGGACGTGGGCTGTCACTATCTTCGTTGCTTCCCTGCACTGCGATGTCACTCATGTCAGATGAACAAAGATATCTCATCTCACCATCTACAAACTATGGGAGTAGTCTACCCAGAAATAAAAATACTTCACAAGTAGCATGAATATTTTTATCCGAGTTGTCACTCAGAGAACTACGTAGCTTCAGGTCGCATGACAAGAGCATCGTGATTACAGGTTCAGACTAACCTCAGTACTGGTCAGTTACTCGTGGCTGCATGTCCTATCGTCTAAACTCTTGTCCAGAGAGTAGTAGGTTCGAATCTTCGTCGACATTCGTGAGGTGATGAGATGATGATGGTTCTCAGTAAAAATGGAACAGATGCAAATTGCATTTCGGTAGGGGTTGAATTCACCTTTGAGACAAAATCCCCGCGTGAAACTTGGAGGTAATTACTTTGATTGCGGCTTATCGCGCTTCCATTGTTCGCTTGTTTTAACGCCTGGGAAACAGTTCACCACTGGTTTTCAGTTCTACCGTTCTATCGTGTTGCTGAATCCTTTCATTACCACAGTTTTCCACTTTTTGCCTTTACTCGGCAGGCACGGACCACTTGGTTGTTACATACAAACTAGGGTATCCCTGTAGTTTTCGTCAGATGTTTGGAGTGAAGTGCTCATACATCACAGATTTGATTAGGACGCAGAAGTTAGTGTTGATCTGCGGTGAGTCATTCAGCTGCAAACCGTGTGCCGGAGTATAGCAGTTCCGGTTCCTACGGCTTTGCTCACCGAGGATATGGAGAATAAGAGAGTAAGAGCCACACGTTGGAGGTGATGGCTCAGCCAGTTTATTCATATTAAATGGTTCTCTTTGCCCGCTGTAGTAGGGGGTGAGAGAGATACGCAGGAAGCCGATAACTTCGACACGTGTTGATAAAAAATCGTCTTGAAAGGCGTCGCTGTTGCGGACAGCAACACGACAGTCGCAAGTTGTTTTATATGTTGTATGAAAACTGTCTCAGGACAGCCAGTCTTTGTTGGGATAACGAGTTGATAAATAGAATAGATTGTATTCACATGTCTTTACGTTTTTACGATATTATCCATCTCACAGGGGTATTCTGACCTTACGTTCTAATGCATCGTGCTGAAGCGTGTATCGTGCATAGCGACGTGTAGAAATGCGTCAAAAACGACGCGCAACCCATGTGCTTAAGAGCATGCCTGCCACCGTTAAAGGTGTTTGTGCACGTCCTGCGGGAACCCGTACACTAACACATTCCAGATTAGATTAAAAGCGCAACACAATATGTGACAATAGCAAGTCTTATCATTTTGTCAGGATGACCTTGTCATTTGGTTCAAACACTTGTGGCACAGCCGAAATCCAATTAATCTGAAGGCAAGGGTTAATCAATTTTAAATCAATATTTGAAGGTCAAATAGACTTGAGTATACTTGTGGTTAGTGTAGTATTTGAGAAATAGCGCCACGACTTTTTATTGCTGCTCAAGTGTTCTGCGGGACGAATTTGCCAGGAATGCTTCAGATCGACGTTAGCACCTGAATTCGATGACTTCAAGACAAGCTGGAGTATGCGTCTTTCCCAGTTCAATGATGGCGAAGGCTTGAACTATGAACACCAATTTATACACTATGACGTTAGTTACCGTGACCAGAGAATTCCGACACTAACCCAATGGACACCCAAAGTATCTCATGAATCGAGACGGTTCAGTAGTCAAAGCGTGAATTTTTACTAACCGAAAGGTTCATTTTTCGAGCCCATCTCGGCATCTCGACTGCTCCTGTCCAGGAATAGGCATCTCAGCTTTCATGTTTTCTTCGGGTTGCATGGCATCCAGGCACTGGAAGAGTGCTACTCTGACTGACTTTACGCGAACGAAAAGAACCACATAAATAAACAGTGTTAACAGACTACACAACTCCGTCACGGTGCTTCAGCATGAAGGGCACCATTGTGTCACCAACCAACCATGTAGAGACACATACATCGATCACGTCACACTTCGAATAAAATATTGCCACTCTGTTTGAAACAAACGTTCAGCTTTCGATTAGGTTGTTTTTTGTGCTCGCCTTCGATTGCCTCTTGCTCAGCACACATCCTCTCTTCGGCCTGGGCAACTAGGAATTAACACCTGCCTTCGTAAAGTAGGATCGGTGGCTAGTCTTTTTCGCTTACTAGTTCCATGATCATTATTATCCCTTCTAATAACTCCGTTTTTTGGGCGAGATGGCCCAAGTGGTTAGAGCGCGAATTCACTCACCGGAAGGTCCGTGGTTCTAACCCGACCTCTGCCCCTCGACTTCCCCTGTCTAGGTTTGGGCAACCTGGCAGTATCGCAGCCCCCGTGCAACCTTCGGGTGGCATGGCAGTTAGGCACCGCAAGGGTGCCACAGCTGAACGCTTTCACAATTGTCACAAACTACTTATGTACGCGATCGACAAGCCGATGCTCCAAACTTAGTTCGAACTACTCGGTTTACCACAGCAGTCTTCAACCGTTGGTGGAAATTGGAAGTACGCTTCAACAGCTATACAGATTATATGCAACAGGACTAGCTGCACAAAGTTCCTGCTTCGAAATCAATGAACCTCCCAGATCAGTCTGTCGTATAGAAGAAGGCCTATTTATTCAAGCTGATTCAGAATACAATCAAAGATGAGAGGAGTTGAAACGGAATCTGGAGAAATCAGACTACCAAGAGACCGTGAGATTCTACAGATTGAATAAGCTGGAGGAATCAAGGGAGCTTTCTCATCGGGATACGGCTTTACTCTATGCTTTCATGTTGACAGTTTTCCGGTCCAAAACTGCACTTCGGTGGGGGTCGGCGAGAAAAGCGATGACATGTTGGTTCGTACTCAATTTCGTCTGTCTAGATTGATCGGCTGAATAGTCTGACGGACGGTTCATTCGACGATAGCTAGATGTCTGATTCGCGTATCCAGACAGTGAAATGTCACACGTGCTTAATCTTGCTTTGTTTCGCACGTACTTGTGTCCGTTGAACTTGTTCTGAAAATAGGCTAACGTCCGTTCGTCTGTTTGATAATTGAGTCGCGTCCGGTGTCGTGGAAGTTTTATTGACGTATCACAGTTTCTAGGGCTCATCTAATCCCACTCTTGTGTGTTACTCAAATCTTCCATGGTATCAAATTATCGATGCAGTCACTCAGTCGCATTCAAATGACGCAACACGAGTGGTTTAGTCGGGTTGCTGGATTGATACGAGTATCTAGGTGAATTGCCAGTACGATCTTCCGTACTGATCAGTCAGTTTGTTCATGCCGTAATCGCTGTCCCATTTAATGTCGGATGATATCGAGGCCAGTAGTGTTTACGTTGGTGCGGGAAAAATTGGGAGATCGAATCACATTATTGCGGAACGAATTCACTTTTCTGTTCGAATTTTAACGACAGTCAATCTCACGCCAGTCTGCCGCATTTTACTTATGTAGCTTTTCATCGAAACGTGAATTTTAATGTCCGTTGCGAACGTTTTCGGTAAACTGCGACTCGAATTTTCATCATGCACTCTTCATACACGTACGTGTACTCTCGCATGGTTAAACGGATTACATACAGAACCGGCCTCTGACTTTCGTGCTGTGTATTTTGCTGACACATTTATGCGACCTGAAGCGTGCCGGGGTTCACTCGGTGCCTCAATATGTCGTCTGTTAAGCGCCGTCAGCCAGGTAGCCAATATTTTCATGATGTCTTTGTGTGCTTGGACGACGCCACGTCTACCGTCGATTAACATTCGTGCTCTTGGAATGCACGAATATGCTTCGTGATCATTGTTCCGAGTCTTCTACGGTGAACTCTCCAAAAGTTCACTCAGTCCTGTCGTGGAATACACACCAACGGAGCAGGGACCTAGGACATCAAATGGCACCTGGAGAAAGATTAGTGTCCGTTAACTATGCAGACAACAGTATTTTGTCTGCACATAGTCTACCCTCTAAGAGAATTGGAGCAGTGTTAGCACCCTAAAAGTACAGAGTCTTGCCTCGGGATTTTCAGTTCTTTTTTATGCCCTTGAAAATTCAAGATGAGGTTGAGCTTGCTGGTTAGTAAGGCGTGACGAATGAAGTGAATCTACGCATGATGAAGGGGAGAGCAACTAAGTTCATTTCTTCTTTACCGTCCAAAACAAAGTTACTTGATACCAAAATGTGTTCAAGGTCGCTAGAAACAGTCCTACTATATCGTTACTCCCAACCTGCGGACTCTATACTACTATATCGTTACTCCCAACCTGCGGACACCATCTTCAAATGCTTGATTATGGACGCCGTCGTGGCGTACTTAGTGGACTGTGGCATGTTCGCAACGAAATGAGGTGTAAGCAAGTGCTTGTTAGCGAATCAGACTCGCTGTGACAACAATTGTAGTCTTTATTAGGTGCGCGTACAACCACTACAGTTTTCTGTTCCAAAATTGTTGTTAGCGAAACTGCCATAATGTTGTAGCGCAAAATAAAATCAACTGAAGACCAAACCAGTACTGTTGGATCTTCCGGGCTGGGTTCTACCTCATTTTCTTTATGCGCGGCTGGAAGCAATAGAGGAACGAACCCGATTTCTGTGAAAAGCATGCGTTACTTGCTGGCTGAACTTTATCCGTCATCATGGATTGGGCCCGTTTTGAGTGGGATTCACGAAGTTGCTTGGTCTGATGGCGTGCTGCTGCGACCTTATGCTTATATGTGTTTATTTCACTGCCCTCTTGTCTTAGCAAATGGGGCTTTTTGCACCAAGTGCATGTATTGTCCTTTTCTTTGTACTCTTTACTTACGCGACCTTTCTTCATGGCTGCATGGCAGTTTAGCGCCATTAGCTTTTATAAATGGGCATTTGCTGTCGATGCTGGAGCAGTTGGTCTTAGTCCGTGGTCACGGAATCTTGGTATGGCTTCTTTCTTGTTGGCGAATCCCTATCAACTTTTCACTATTAGCCAGATGCCTTGACTTTCCTAATAAAATTCTTTCAAAGTATGATTTTTGTGAATATCTTTCGTTCCATGTTCTTGTGGAAAAACCTGGAGTCACATATCACTTTTCTTAATGCCTTGTTTTTGGCTGTAATTCTCACAGAAACACTCAACCTACCGATGTTCACAGTTCTCATCCCAAGAATTCTCCGAAAGCGGGGTACGCTGGTCACTTGTGGAAGCTTGCTAATTCATTTGAAGAAGCGCGTAACGGTCCTCGTCGTGACTTTGTCAACCAAGTCTTCGAAAGTACGAAACGTTTTTTATACCCCTTTTCAATACTCAACAAACGCCACAGTTCGTTCTTTTTGGGCTTTTGAATTAGACCTAATTAAAAACGGAAAATTTATTATACTGCATGAGCTACGCAAAATTTTGGCTTCAGTGGTGTGCTTAATATGATTTTTGTGGGATCCTCGTAATCAGCTATTTGCTTGGCGTGCATGTCTAACGCGGCTTTAGGAAACAGTTTGATCACGTTCGGTAATGCTAGGATGGTTCCTCACCGTCAAAGTTCAAGGTCATGAGACTAAAGAACGTTTGGGATGACGCATGAACATCTGGTTGTTTACGCTTTCTGTATCTATAACCACGTTCGTTACGTCATCAGCGTTGGCGGCCAGAACTGGGATGCAAGATAATCAATCTTAATCGAGCGTGAAGAAGGCACGAGAGAGGCTTTCTGTGAAGAGCTCAACTATCCTGTAGACAACGGTGTCCACGCCTTCGGACACCAAGGTAGTAAGCACACGAGCCCTGTTCCGCTGTTAGACTCCGATAGAGGGCTAGTCTCAGCATAGACGACGGGCACAAGCCTAAAGCACAACAGAAGTTAGGTTTCATGTCGGCTGCTAGGCTGCGAAAGTATGACTGCCATGCTATACCCCGCATGGCTTCCAGCCGCGCGCAAGATGCGCTGAGCCCACTCCAGCCAAGACGGTAGGAGAACCTCTTGCCCCTGGTTTGGAATCCAACTTTATCTTCGCGCCATGGACTACAGCCTGCGGACGAACAATGGTTTAGTATGGGAAACAGCTGTCTTTGACGCGCTATAGTTGCCTCACTGACTTAGCAAGCCCTATCTGCTGCTCCATTAATTTCAGGTAAGGACACATTGTCTGCCTACGTGTCATTTAATCGTGAAATGCTGCAGCCCACTCATTTCTGTTACTACACTAAAACACCGGTGTTTGTATCCTCTTTGAACGACCAGTTCTTGAACACAATAGCTGTCACACCCGGTGTGAATCGTGAAAATTTTGGGAAGGCCTTTGCGGAACCCGTCTGAACGGTGCTTCTTGTGGTATATGTCAATTAAAAATGCTCCTTGTAAATCAGCAACGTCATAGCTTTATCTTAGACGATCCGCGTGGAACACAAGGGGAGGCTATTCAGTCCTATTTTGTAGTTTTTTTTGCCTTGACTATCTACCAAATTTAATTACGCAGGTGTTCACTAACAGATTTTTTCATTCTTTCATCGATAGGTCTCAGTGAAGAGTCTCGTTCTTCATGGGATGCGTTTGTAGCGGACAGCTTGGCAAAAGTCAATGCTGTGCAAGTTGCTGACGTAAGATTTATTTCCTCATTCATCTTGTATACATGCTTAAGTTAACGATCCTTATAGCGATTCTCTGGTGACACCCGACGACTAATATATTTGACCCTGGATGACTGGAGCTCTGTAGCGTCAGCATGTTGGAACCTGGTCCATAATTTGCTCTATCCTTGGGCGGGTGTATTATAGTGGTCGCTAACTTATGCTGTCCAGACAGTGAGCTCGAAACAATGCCAGTTGAGATGAGTGCATTCCTTTCATTTCAGAGTGCTGATTGATATCTATGTCTGATTTGAAATCTTGGAGCAAAATGAGACGAGTTTTTTTGCCAGTTTCGTCCTATTTCTTACTCCGTCGAACGGAATCAGTTTTGCCGTATGGGCTACATAATTCATTACATTCTGTTATACAGGGCAAATGAACTGCCACTTCGTACCTGGGGCAACCTAGGTCAACCGCCTCCGTAGCTATTAATCTTCTACCACATTGCAAATCCATCTGTTGCCTAATCGTCCGTCCGTTAACCCTTACAGTGATCAAATTTTTGCACACTTTCAAGCGCGTTCGCCTTTTACAGCTGTGTAGTTTGATGGATTCTTTGACACACTGTCCTTGTGTTGTATCCATTTTGTGCTATCGAAGCAACTAATTTCATTGTTCCAGATGGATCAGTAGTTAAGGCGCGAACCTATTGACCGTGGTTCGAACCTGAACTCTGCTTCTCGGCTGCTCCTGTCTTGGTTAGGGCAATCTGGCAGTACCTCGGCCCTCATGCTTCCTTCGGGTGGAGTGCCAGCTGGATCCCGAAAGAGGGCAAACACAAAGGAAGCAGTGTACTATGTTATCCAGTTGACGAACACTTATCAGTATTTCCATGTGCCAGTAATATACAATAACGATGAATCAAACGTTTGCAAACCATTCATTCACACGAACCAGAACGTTACGTTGCACTCAAATACCGCAGTATACCCATGTTCATCTCGTAATCGCAATAGATTCCCATCACATTTCTTCAAAATGAGCGATTCCCATCGGTCCCACCAAAATTTGGTTGTGACGTCACGAGTTCCAGCCCTTCCGGTAACAATCGCGTAGGCGCACACGTGTCCCTATCGATAAGCACATTCCGTAGAAAAGTGGGTTAAAAATCAACTACAATTAGTGGAATAAATTTGGATTATCGTAAAACAGCCCATGATAAAAGGGTCATTTTCGACCACTCTTTTCCTTAGTCTCTGTAGAACAGTTTTTTATGTTAGCAGTATATCACACACCTTGCTGGGACAGAGGCTAGTTTCTTTTTTGCAGAATATCATGTCCTGAACTGGTGAAGTTTCCCGGACAGATCGTCCACACGGAAGGCTATTACCCTTGTCCATTTGTTCCCACATGATTACCTTCAATGATCGAGAGTTGTGCGGTGCATACTGGGTGCTTTATTTTCACGAAAACTGCTCTAGGGTATAGCACTGTGTTGCCTGTTGTGTGCGGATGTACAGTGCCTTTTGGCGATTTCACCTAAAGTAGACTACGTTTCTCGGCTTTTTACACCCAGTCCAGCTGCTCAGATCGCTCCTTTGATGAATGACGCCATTATCTTCCTTTCCTACTTTTTTCACCACAGCCGTAGACGAGTTGTAACCTGCTGCCCTCTCGTTCTTGTGTTATAGGATGTGTCCGACGCAAAACCGGATCGCGATGACGGCCTCATCCAACTGTTGACACAAAAGGATCTCGGAAGTTTGTTCTCACAATCAGCCGGCGTACGTGACCGTTTAAAATTGTTCCCACCTGTGTTTTTTTAAACCGTCATGAATTTGAATCCATAACCGATTATCTTCTGATCAGTTTCTACTTTGCATAGTCCGTGCAATTCCTTACTGGGGGTAATCTTACATGCATGGGGGCTGTGATAATTTAATGCCATCGGACAAATTTCTAAAGAGTTGGTCCCACAAATTGGACTTCTCTATATCAGCTACATAGACCAATCGAGCGATACCGAGAATAACTTCGCCGGTTTCACTAAGTCTAGTTTACCCAACCTCTCGATGACGCCAAAAGGTCAGCAACCTTATGTGGTGTTACGCCAAAAACGTCGGCGACTGTGTGATGGCCACACCAGCTGAACAGGGGAGCACTGAAGCACGGTGCCAAAGTTGTACGCAGCCCGTACATCCATCTAAACGGTGCTACCTTGTTTACTCCCTTTTCCTTCCACCTAAGGCATTAGTAAAGACATCAGGCGAAGTTTGCACATTTCTCTGTTGACGCGAGTTCCTAGTGGGTTGCTTAGCCCAGACATCCGCCTGACTGTTATTCGGACAGGTAAACACAACACACGCGTCACATCAGCCAATTGGTGAAAGAAACTTTCTACCGGTTTGAGTTAATGGACAATCGCACATTCAAATGAGTCATTCAGTCTACGCCCATCCAGACGCTAATTGAAATGCAGACCGAAATGATTTTGTGGTTTCTCGCCTTTAATTAGCTTACTTTTTTTAAAAAAATTATCCATTTAATACTGACTCGATTTGTATCATCTCATGGTTGACTTGTCTCATAAGTTTAGTTTCCATGATCAATACGCACTTCGCTTTACATGGTTTTGCTCTTATCTATAGCTTGCCTGAGTTTGGTTCGCACAGTTGTGGGTAGGACGCCCACCTATTAGCTGTCAAAAATGTGGCATTCTTGAATGTTACTGATAAATCGTTTCGTCTTTGGGAATAAATGCTACTTGTAGGTTTATTTTGTTGTGACAGAGGTATTGTACTTTTGGAATAGACTTCATTTGGTGGAAATGTTTCGTTTCCCGACAGCCACCTTCTCTTAAAGGATGGGATTTGCCTACTGACGACAACCTCCCATTATACACGGACTTTTTTTACTCCAATATATGTCAATCTGCTTATCTAACTTTTTTCAATGTCGTTGTGAGTGTTGGTAGGCCTTGTCACGTCAAAACTTGACAACATCACAAATCACACAGCTAAACCAATTTTATCGCTGTCTAGTTGAACCGCAAACGGCCATTTGAGAAATATTCGTGTGATGGTGTATGCGCTGTCACCGGTTTTCTGTTTACTAGCTCGTGTTTACAGCTTTTGTAAAACCTGGCGCTCAATCGTCTGTCGGTTGGAACACGAAAGTCACTGAACAGTCAACACACATCTTAATTCGTCGAATATCTCAGACAAACTCTCATGGCAATAAATTTATGCTGTCCATAAATTCCTCGCCGATAGGTTTGTGGGCCTCGATAATTTCCTGAACTGCCTTTGACCTCGAAAACTAACCGGCTTTCTAACTATCCGTGCCTTCCTGTTCAATTGAACAATTTCAGAAATTGTTTTTTCTAAGACCAGTTGTCCGCAACTTTGCGAGAACACGCTCCGTTACAAAACCGAATCACCTACCCATCAGATAATTCAGACAACTTGAGTTATCACAGTGAAGAAGCTTGTGCTTTGGCGCGGATGAACAGACACAACAGAGCTAAGTACTCAGACAGACAGCTATTTTTCGTCTCCGAATGAATGCTGCTTTGTTGATGATCGATGGTCAACGGATCTTGATTGCGCAGTCTGTGTCAACTCCATTTATTCGTCCTTAGTTTTCGAACTGATCGTGGACATCGTCATGGGTCCGGGTAGCCACTCGAGTACATGCTCGGCTGTGTATTTTGGAAGGTATCGATTCTTTCTACGTGGTCCTGTTGTAGTGACTTGACTTTTGGGTTGTTGTTCTTGTTGATGCATCAGTTTACCATTGATTTTTACGTTTTACACGTTGCATGGAACATTAGATGAACGGTTCGGGTCTCACTAGCTAGGGGAATCGCCCAAAGACATTATCACAGCAAACGGAATGTTTTTGTCTTTTGTTAAACAGGAAAGGTTGTCCTGGGCTATCCAGCCTGAGGCGTGATCAATATCTTCATGGGCTGGATCACCTCGATAGAAATATCAACTCAGTTCGTGTTATGATTCCAGTAATCAGTGTACCAAAACCGAAAACACCATGCTTACTCCACGCATGCGACAGCTTCCTTAGTTTTGAGTGTCGGAATGAGCTGGTTTAAGTAGTGTGCTCGACTGATACCGTCGAGGATTGATAATAGACGGACATATCTGTCTGTTTCACAGTCCAATGGTAGTTCAGTCACAGAACTGCATAAACCACACTCCAACTAAGTCAATTTATGTTGACCTTGCCGGAGTCATCAGAACCAGTGCGACTCTCGAACTATTTAAAATGACTCAGCGCTTACTTATTAACAGCTATCCGCTCGTTAGAGAGCACACAAAATTACCAGGCCGTTACGAGGACAGTGCATTCTCAGCATTTTCTACTCTTGCCAACAGTATGACGTAAAATGGCTGTTATATGACTGCAACAAAGATACTAACACGTTTTTTCCACGTGATAGCAGTCTGGTGTGTAGCGGACACTGATTCTACCCGCGTTAAATTGGTCGTGTTTCTACGAATTCGTTTCAGAATTGTCGATTAGCTGGTTGGTTTGGGCGGATGGATTTTTGTGACTGAGCTCGGGGAGCGAATTCCTCAACTTGATACCGATCGGAAAGTTAGATATTCTTTCGCTGGAGTGAGCTGTTTGACAACTGAGGGTCATCAAAGTAGGCAGGGGTACTAGTATCACCGCGGACACTTGAACATTGTACAAGCATAACATTGTTTTGAAAGCCCCAAGGATCTAATGCTGGCCCACTGTAAGCCCACACCCGCTCGGACAACTTGCGAAGTTACAAGTTGCCTATCTAGCAATTTACGCCATCCTGATGGAGATGAGAGAAACAGCATTCCATTATTCATAAAGGAAACTACTCACAAGGTTGCTGAAAACTCCCCGACAGCCCACGACCTATTTCGCCCTTCTTGGGGCTCATCAGGTAGGCGCAGTCCCCGAGTTTTCGTCAACCTTATGTTCTACTTGAAACCAACTTGGACTGTTTTCGAGAAATACAGTCATTTGCAAACCAGTTTGGTTTTCACGAGGGACCCAACTGAATCTCTCGCTTATGATTGGCAAATAAGAGTATTTCTCGAAAAGCATTCCATTCAGTTCGAATACAACATGACTGAGCCGTCTCCTGGAGTGTCAGGAGCGATTCTACCAGAGATTTGGCAAAAGCCCATGAACAGATTTCTGTTATCTCGTTGGTACATTTCAAAATTAAGGTAATCATTAACTATGATGCTCACTTAAACTCCTTACCAATAGAGTGCTCGCACAACGTTACATTTGTTACCGTGTTTCGTTTTACTAGGAAGGCATCGATAGCTGACAATGATACTCAGTTAGACTGCAAATTGAAGTGGTATGAACCAGATTGATTACAGCTCCGATTCTTGAGTAGAAATCCGAAGCTTTCTGGCCATACTTCTTAATTCAGGCTGCCACAGCTTCACAGGCTGCCCGAACATTACTCTTCCTCGTCTGTCAACAGATTTTCAGTCGTGGGAAAATACGAATTCAGCTTGAAGGGGTGTGAGGTTTCTTCATAGCCCCAGATTAGGCAGTCTTCGAATCCATATTCACCTGCATTCGAGCTTTAGAAGTTGCTTTATCTAACATACTTTATAAATCTGTTGACCAGGATCTACTTGATTCCCTTGTCTATAAAGTCGACCTCATAACTTCTCCGACTCCACTGATTCAAGGCAACAGAAAAAGGACATCCAGGTGTCGCTGTACGCATCTGTCCATACGGAATGTTTCTCACAATCCCACAGTCATCGTATCCGGCCCTCTTGGAGTACTGGTATTTTATCAACCCTTATCTGCCAGCCGTCCTCGTTTCCCAACTTTTCACTGTGTAATTCGAAAGAACAAACTCAGTGAGAGCGGCAGATGGCATGTGGACTAACCAGGCTTTGTTGGACAAGCTTGTCTCGTATGATAGAAAGGGGATAATAAAGCTGTAGAGCTTTTTCTTGTATTCAGTATAGCAGGTTGAGCAGTGGTGCATCGTAGGCTTCCGTCTCTCAACCCCTCTTTCAGCTCAGTCCCCCTGCTGATATTGGAGGGTATACCTCGTAAAAGCCTTCCTATCATGTCATTATTTGATGATGCTGAACTTTGTGATATAAGGCGGCTTTCCTGGTTTATAAGACCGTACCTTTCCGTGTTGTTCACCAATCGGTTTGTCAGTCAGTCGGCCTCCACTACAACAGGAATAATAGCACTTAGTATCTAGCCAAGCACGTTGATTTGTTTCGCGTCCTGTGCAGAATCGAACCCTCTTCTGAAACGCATACCTTGTCGGTGATTCTTTGCCCTGGCCTGATTATGTTTAATCGGCCGCAAGTGGGAGATCACGTATGCGAGTCCCGTCCAAGAACTGAATTGTGAGGTCCTATCCAGTACTATCCTACGTTAATAGAAGTGGCTTCGCGGGAACACCATCGTGTGAGTTAAAACAAACCAAATCATGGCCAGCCGTGATGCCCCACTGGGGTGTGCTCTGGACCCAGCGCCTCGGTAGTTCTGGTTGCCGGTCTAGCCGAGACCTTGATGTTTTTGGCACCCAGGCGGACGTGGTCTTAACACATCGAGAACGTTGGGGTGCTAAACCCGTGGAGCTGCTAGTAATGCATGTAGGTTCAACCTCTACAATACCTCTACTTGCGTCCCAAGGTTACGTGTGTGACGTGTGAAGCCTTCAACTTTGCAACAAGTGATTTGCTGCGATTACCGTTGTACAGACCAAGGTTATTACTGACCAACCGTAACTAGCCCTGTTTTTGTGCCTCGTGTACGTCTTATTAGTGGATAATTGGACTCCCACCTGCATACATTGCGCGCAATGGTTGAGTTGA